CGTACTTCTTCTGTTTGTATTCTTGGAATACTGATTTTAATATATATATTTCCGTCCTGTAAAGGGCAAGTTCACAAGTCTTTACTTGTGAACATTTTTAATTCTGAGTATTGTTCTTTTTATCTTTATATTTCCGCTGCATGTTTGTTCAAGTGTCATAACACTTTGGACAACACCTCTGTATTATTATTATTACTACTACTACTACTACTACTACTACTACTACTACTACTACTACTACTACTACTACTACTACTACTACTACTACTACTACTACTACTACTATTATTATTATTATTATCATCATCCTTATTAATGTCCTTATTTTTATTAGGGGAAACACAGTTGCAAACAACATCTGCATCAATTTTGCAATTAAACCCGACGAACCACCGCGCTAATTACTTACGAAAATGGTACTTACTAATATTAATCAAAATTTTCTATGATTTACATGTTTAATTTCATGTGCCATATATTAATTATTGATGACACATATAGGTTTGCAAAACGTCCGGAGGTACTTAGTGTTCATGAAGAGGCAATGAGGTGGAAAATTAATTCAGCAAGGGAGATTACATTGCAGGAGCTAATTCACAAAAATGACTCCTTATCCAAGGTAAAAATAGATAAATAAAAGTAAACCTTATTAGTATACTAGGTTAGATAAAACAAACACGCTTTGTTTTTATTTTTTTGGTAGGATACAAAGTATTTTTTCAAGGGGATTGTGGAAAAGGTGGAAAATAAGTCAAGTATATGGTACGATTCATGCAAGAATTGCATGGCATCAGTTGTCAAATCTGAAGAAACGATCACATGTCCAAAATGCCACAAAGAAGATACAGAATCAATACCAAGGTAATAAATATACGAAATTTATTTAAAAAAAATATATATACAATTTATTTGTACAAATAAAATTATTGGTCTCATTTTAGGTACCGGTTGATTTTAACAATCACACAAGGAGAATATAGTGCAAGCATGACACTATTTGAGGAGGTCGCATGCGTTTATATTGGGTGCCCTATCAATGAGTATCTTAAATCAATCGAACAGGTATAATTTTATTTACTCTGACCACTACATAACTACATGCACTGAATAAAATTATTTGTGGAAATACAATTTTTACATTCATATACCATTTAATTAAATATCTCTAACCATCCATCTACATGATCCATTTCTATAGGGCGAAAATAAGTCGAAGTATTATAGAGCATTGAGCCTCCAATCATCAAGTGAATTCTATTTTCTCATCGCACCAAACAACAATTTATCATATTCCAATGGACAACTTAAGGCTGTGGCTGATGCAATTCAAAGAATTCAGCCTACTATAGAAGAAGAAGAAGATATGCCAGAGACATCTAAAGAAGGTGCAAAGAAAAATGAGCCAATTGAGGTTAGAGAAACTCAAAGTGATGAAGATGTTCCTACAAAAAAAAGAAGGCTCATTAAGAAGGTGCAAAAATTTGATCTTGAGGTAAATAAACAAAGGTTAACGGCATCAAAAGGAAGTGCGAAAAAAAAAGAACCGCTTGAGATTGAAGAGAATCACAGTGAAGAAGATGTGCTTAAAAGAAAAGGAAGGATCATTAAAAAGACGAAGAGATTTGAACCTGAGATAATAAAGAAAAAAAGGGTTGCAGCATCAAAAGCAAATTCCAAAAAAAATGAGCCGATTGAGGTTGAAGAAAATGACAGTGAAGAATATGTTCCTAAAAAAATAGGAAGAACCCGTAAGAACATAAGTATCGTTGAGAGTTCTGATGATGAAGACACACTTGAAGAACTTAAGATGAAAAGTAAGAATAGAAAAGGGCACAATATCAAAAACGAAAGAGAAAATGAGTAGTGTGGTGTAGGGTTTTGGATGATGTCCTTAGTTTAATCTAGCTTATCATATTTTTGAAATTTAGTTTGATTTGAGTTTGTTTAATTCACTTTGTCATTTTACGACAAAAAATGAATAACCATTTCAATATGAAGTGTTTTTTAAGAAATAATAATAATCTTAATATATTTCCACTTTCATTGGATGGAATAATTGAAAAATAATTCATATAATTAAATAAAAGTATCAATTTAAAATTTATTGCAATATTTGAAATTGTAAAATTTTATGTTCCTTAGTTAGAATAAATAGCACAATAATACAATAATTATTGGATCATATAAAATTTAATAGTTAGTGAAATTTAATTATTGGTAAAACATTGATAATAATATATATTGTATAATAATGAACGAAACGATATTTTTGAAGCTAATAAATTAAAATAAATAAAAATACTTAAGATTAGTATTAATGATTGATGAATTTCTTAAAGTTTATTATAAATATATTGCATAAACATTTTGTTAAATTAATGACGTAGAAATTCAAGAATAGTTAGTTATTTGGAATTCATTGATTTTTAAAAATGTTTTCTTAGTTTTAAGTTATTTGCAGTCCCTTAAAATTTGACACACGCGGTTAAGTTTGACGGAAAAACTAACGGAAGCTACGCTACATAAACCACAAGGGGGTTATGTGAAGATATTACAAATACCAGGGGTCATCTGCAAAAGCTTGTAACGACAGGGGTGTGAAGTGCTATTTAGCCTATTAAATGTGTACCCAACGCAAGATAATATTTTTAAGGGTAAATTACACCTACACCCCTGAGGTATTGTAAAATAACTTTAAGGTCCTTGTGGTTTTAATAATATAATATAATTATTCTTTTTAGTTATTCCATCCCAATAAAAGATAAAATTTTGAATGTATTAAAATTTGAAACACAAATTAAATGGTGCTTTTTTATCAGTAAATTAAATGGTATTTGAGGGGTAAGTGTTACGAATGATATTTTAAGGAGGTAAGCGTTACATATGGTATACTTTAGGGGTCTAAAGTGTATTTAACCCTTTTTTTAAAGATTATTTTTTATTTCAAGCACCCCCCCAAATTAGTTTACTTAAGTGGGGCCTTGGTGAAATTCTCAGAGCCTGCATGTCCAGAGACTTTGATCTCCTACTAGACCTCAATATATACCCAATTGTCTAAAACTCCAAGCTTCAAAGTTGTAGATCCTTCGTTTGTCTTTTCGAAGAATATTTACACATATCATTTGGAGGTGGGACGAGAGAGTAATGTCAGAGAGGTGTCCAAACTATTCGAAGATTGCCGAAATAAGTTTGTTTTGACTCGAGGAAAATATAAGATAGTAATTCTTATCAAATGCCCCAACTTAAATAATAATTACTCTGCAAAGGTTGTAACAATTTTAATAGATACACTAAATTCTAAGATGTGGTGTTCATATGTAATTGATTATCATCCCCAAAAAATATGAAAGTTTGCCATTTCCTTATTATAGGTTAGAATTGGACGCCACATTTGTTTATTAACACCATTCCATGTATTTATAAATTAAGTTATAATTAGTCATAAAATGGGGTAACTATATACATAAAAAAAAAAACTTCAAAATACGTCTCACAAACATTTCACATGTTTGTAACTTAAAACTCATCATCTAATTCTTTGCATCTTTTGGTATTGTCACACAATTATTAAGTCATTAATTACAAAATAATTACCATTACATGGATCCATCCAACATCACCAAAAAACTGCCAACAAGTCTTAAATTGAAGAAACAATTGCATACAAAGAGTCATTGCTTCTCTATTGTAATAAAAACATACATGAAGAAAAATTAAGGTCATAATTACAAAATAAATTCCATTTAATTAGTAACAGCTGCACATGTCTACAAATTGTACTCCAAACAATATCCATATAACACAAAGAGTAGGCACTAAGTTTGATTTTGTTTATCAGGTACGTACATACCTAGGAAGCAAATTGATAGAATCCACTTCCCACAAATATGTCTTCCTTTACATATTTTTTTATGCTACATCTTTAAACGTTAATTCCAGCATAACATTTGTTTTAAATTTCCCACATGGGCCAGATTCTTATTGACAACGACAAATATAAATTGTTCTTACCTGAGTCACTACGATTGATAGAGTTTCCCAATTTGACGAATGATTACACATCCATCATACGGTGTAAGTGTGTTTGAAAAACTTTATTTTCCGTTGATTATAGGCCATCGAAAGACTATGACAAATTTTTATTACTCTGAAAGATATCTTCATTTTCCCATGGTTCATATGAAAATCTATGTCGTCATAGGATTTGTTTTTAAATGCGCTTAAGTATTGGTGGTGATAAAAACTGAATAAATGTTTAAAATATTAAAATATATGAAAATAGAACCAATTTATTAGCTAGAATCTCTTCTTTTATAATGAATTATGTACATGATTTACATTTTATTTTTCTTCTTATTCTTTATTTGAATGTGGTACAACTAATATATACATTAGTGAGATGTTGCTCTTGAATGTAGTGTATAAACTTATAAAGAGTTCAATTGTACAGACTAAAGATCCAAATAAAATTTGGATTAATCACAGACACAAGGAAATAAGAATTGCTTCGATATATATATCTGCTTAATCATCCTAAGCTTTAGCACATGAAAGTTTTATAAATACAAATAGTGGAATTTTTTTTTGTTATCTGTTATGTATTTTCAACCCAACATATAAAATATATATATTTTAACCAAAAAATTGAAACTTTTCTTTGGTCAATTCTAGACACAGGTAGCCATTAATTATATAGAACATTTTACCTCTAAATTTCCTATCCTATGTTAGAATACTTACAATTGTTGTGGCATTACTATTCACCATTTGTTAGACGAATATTGTTCATTGTAATCTAATTCCATATCTGTTGTAGGGAACTCATTCAATATTATAATATCATGTCAAGTATTAAATATATTCTGATGAGCATAACATGTTAATTTTCCTTTAGTCGATGACTTATGTAGTTGTTGCGTTTATATGATAACTTGATCATTTACAGATATATTTTGCACCAAGTGACTTCAAACATGGTAATGCATAAACAACGTAACGATATGGAGTCAGCATCAGGTATGTTTATTTAATTTTTAAATATTGTAGTATTGCTCTTAAATTCATTTGAAATAGGATCTTCGACAAGGTTTATACATAATTTTTTTACTAAGTATATTGACAACAATTCACATTACTTTTATTGTTGTAGATGTATTACGACAGCGGAAACTAGCTAGGATGAAGAGGAAATATGCCGAGCTAACTGCCATAGACAAACAAAAGTACATAGACAAAGTGAAAAAAGCTAAGACGCTGAGGAAAGAAAGAAATTCGATTGGTTACAACCATAATCCTATGCATGAGGAAGTGACTAGCCCTTTTACAAAAGTTGCATCAAATGCAGTAGCATTAGCTTCTACCAATGAAAAATACCAAAAATCGCCAATTAATAAGTGGCTTTTAAGAGCACAAATGATTCCTGGCCGACGATCAGAAGGTAATTTCGGTATAGTATTAATTAATTAATCTAAATGTCACTTGTAATTTTAATATAATCTTTATTGTTTTCTTGTTTTACTAGGTCTAACAATTTATGATCCTGTATGCTCAGAGTTGCATGAATTAAAACACGTTCCTAATTGCATACATTGTCATGCGGTAAGATTTGAATATGAACCTAAGACATTTTGTTGTGGCAATGGAAAAGTTAGAGTTGCGCCTATTGAAATGCCAGATGAAATGTATGACATGTTTGTCTCTGAATCCGAAGAAGCTGTAACCTTTCGCAAGAATATCCGTGCGTTGAATTGCATATTCTCTTTCACCTCATTAGGAGTGAAATTAGATAAGGATCTTGCATCTGCAAAGCATGGGGTTTACACTTTTCGAGCACAAGGCATGGTATATCATGATCTTCCAGGATTGACTCCAAATGAAGGTGGCCCTACCAATTTTCAGTTATATTTTGTTGAAACCGAAAAAGAGATTGAGAATCGGTTAAAGATTCTAGATAATTCGGAACTATCTGAACCTATAATCAACAAAGTTATGAAAATTATGGAGGTAAACCCATATGCAAGATTATTCAGAACATTAAAGGATTATCCTTCTATGGATAATGTTCAACTTCATATCTCGAAAGACGTGCGATTAGACCAGCGTGTTTACAATTCTCCAACTGCGGATCAAGTGGCAGCTATTTGGGTTGAAGGAAATGATCCTCATATACCAGCTGAACGAGATATTGTTGTTCATGCACGGTCAGGCCATAAGCATAGAATCAAACATTATTACGGTTGTTATGATCCGATGCAATATCCCCTTCTCTTTCCAAAAGGTGATACAGGGTGGCACCAAAATATACCAAAAATAGGAGCCCAGACGTCGAATACTATAATCAGTTCATCCCTACCAACTGGTGGAGTTATTCATACAGAACAACAAAGAGGTTCGCTTAATCATTTACTTCATCAAGTACTACTACAACAAAAAAAGAAATGTTATTTTTACATTTACATTAATAAATGAAATAAAAATGATGTTTCTTTTTTTAGTAAGTATAATTCATTTTTTCCTCACAAAATTACCTACCATGATTCTTTGCAACAAAATAAAGTTTTGAATCAATACCATTTCATACACTTCTTTTATACCTAATTATTTTACAAAGCCATGGTTAAACTAAAAAGAGCATTAAAAAGAATATTTATTTTCCCCTGTATCGTACCATTAATCTTCCACAAGTTCTAATTTATCTCTAATTATATTTTCCAGCAAACGAGGAAGCTGCGGAATCGGAAAATATAACTTCTTCATATGACATTCTCGCACGAGAACAACAAGGTACTGATAAATTAATCATTTTACCCAGCAATTTCATAATGTTTTCTTTGACCAATTAGTGGAGTTACTTATACAGAAGTCAGAACAACAAAGTCTTTTTCTTATTCATTTACTTCATCAAGTACTTCTACAACAAAAAATGGCTTAATTCCACTTTGCACCTCTGAAATATACAATTTTGGCACTTTGCACCCTTAAAACAAATTAATGGCACTATGCACCCTCGAAACACAATAAATCATGCATAATGCACCCCAAATAAATTTTTAAAGCTAATAAAGGTAATTTAATATTTTTAGTGGTATTTTTTTAGAATGACAAATGTCAAATCCTCTTTTTTTATTCATCAATTATTTTGAAATTATAAAGTGCAAGAATAAAAATACATCTCATCAACATATTTAGAAATTATATTTTTTATCACAAAATATATATTTTACGAAAAAAAATCATTCAGCTATTTCTTCATCAAGTTATATGAAATTCATATTCATTCCAAATATTTTTAACTAATATTTCCACCGCTTGCAATAAAAGATCCAGCAACCGAATAATTTACGGACAAAAGTTTATTTTATTTTATTTTGTGAGACGATAAAATTATTTTTAATAATCCGGTATGGTTTTTTTTTTTCCGCACTTTGTGCGCTCAAAATTAGGTTGGAGGTTAAATAAATTAAAACTTTAATTTGTTATTTTGTATTCCCCAAAAAAAAAAAAAAAACCAATGACAAATGAAATTGCGTTTATTATTCAATTCACGATGCATTGTGAATGGTTTATTGTGTTTTGAGGGCGCAAAGTACTATTATTATGTTTCAATGGTGCAAGGTGCGTAAATGCATCATTTCAAGGGTGCAAAGAGAGATTAAGCCTAAAAAAATTCTTTTTACATTTACAATAATAAATGAAAAAAAAATGATGTTTCGTTTTTATAAGAATAATTATTTTTCCCCCTAAAAATCTCCTACCATGATTCTTTGCAACACAATAAACTTTTGGAGGAAGAATTACACTTTTTGTCCGTCATATTTGGCCCGATTTCAATTTTGGCCCCCCTTGTTCCATAGTGAACAAAGTTCACCTCCAAGTTTCAATTTTAAACACTTTTGGTCCCCGCCGTTACATATCCGTTAGCAAGTAACGGAAACACTATTTTGGGATGAAAATTTAAATTTAATTTTTTTTGGGGCTGAAAAATTATTATAAATTTAAAATAGACTACTTATAATTAATTTTTTAATAATATTAAGTATAATGAAATTTATTTAGTTTATTTTTTTTATTATTACAAAAAATCATAAGTAGTATAATTAAAAACAATATTAAATATAATTCACAATAATTTATTTAGTTAATTTCTTTTTTATTATTAAAAACAAAAGACTCGATAGGGTCTCTTTGGATTTTTTATTGCTATTGTAGGGGCACTCTTTTTCCTTGTGTTAACGAGGCTCCAAAACATTTCATCATAGTGAAATAATAAAAAAAAATTGGCCAAAAAAAATGATCATTAAAAAATTAATTGTAAGTAGTATAATTATAACAAAATTAATTATAATTAAAAAAATATTTTTTTAGTTAATTAATTTTTTTTCATAAGTAGTATAATTAAATATTATATTAAATATGATTAAAAATAATTTGTTTAGTTAATTTTTTTTATTATTAAAAATTTAATTATAAGTAGTATAATTATAATAATATTAAGTATAATAAAAAAATAATTTGTTTCGTTAACTTCTTTTTTTTATTATTAAAAACTATAAGTAGTCTATTTTAAATTTATTATTTTTCAGCCCCAAAAAATTCAAAAATTCATTTTTCACCCCAAAATAGTGTTTTTCGTTACTTGCTAACGGACATGTAACGGCAGGGACCAAAGTGTTTAAAATTGAAACTAAGAGGTGAACTTTGTTCACTTTCGAACAAGGGGGACCAAAAGTGAAATTTGGCCAAACACGAGGGACCAAAAATGTAATTATCCCACTTTTGGATAAATATCATTACAAACACTTCTTTTACACCAAATTAGGTGCAAGACCATGGTTCTAAATGAGCATTAAAATAATATTTATCCCCCCCCCCCTTCCCTAAGTACCATTAGTCTTCAACAATTTATAATCTCTCCCTAATTGTCTTTCCAGCAAATGATGTAGCTGCGAAATCGAAAAATATAACTTCTGCAGATGACATTCTCTCACAAGAACAACAAGGTACTGATCTTACCCAACAAATGCATACAGTTATTTCTTACACCAAATTTAGAACCATTTATATATTTTTTATAATTGCAGGAATCCGTGGAGAAAATAATAAAAAGGTCTCTTGCCGAGAGTATAGTTGTTACATGCTACAAATAAGAAATCCACGACAATCCACATTGTTGTTTGCAGGACGTCTACTCCAACAATACGTTGTCGACATGTACATAAAATTAGAGACAACAAGGTTAGATTACTGTAGACATAATCAGTCTAATTTGAGATCTGAGTTATACCAAGGAATCATGAAAAGTGTACAACAAGGAGAGACAAGAGGCAGCGAGGTTGGAAAAAGAATTATTCTACCACCATCTTTTATCGGAGGTCCGAGAGATATGCGTCGTAGATATCTTGATGCATTGGCGTTAGTCCAAAGGTTTGGAAAACCTGATTTTTTTATTACAATGACTTGCAATCCAGAGTGGGCAGAAATACAAGAAAATTTGTACCCTGGTCAAAAGGCTCAGGATCGACCTGATTTAACCTCAAGAGTCTTTCGAGCAAAATTGCAAGATTTACAAGATCAGTTGTTTAAAAAGGAGATACTTGGAAAAGTGGCTGCACATGTGCATGTGATTGAATTCCAAAAAAGAGGACTTCCACATGCTCATATTTTGATTATACTGAAGTCGGAGTATAAAATTACCACTCCAGATACCTATGATAGGTTCGTGAATGCAGAACTTCCAGATCCAGAAAAACATCCTGCACTTCATGCCTTGGTTGTGAAACATATGATGCATGGACCATGTGGATCAAAGAACAAGAGTAATTCTTGTATGGTTGATGAAAAATGCAAATATCATTATCCACGACCATATTGTGAAAGCACGATTCAAGGCAAAGATGGATATCCGATATATAGAAGGAGAAGAAATGGAATTACTGCCCAAGTTCGCAGAGCTCATCTAAATAACCAGTGGGTAGTACCATATAACCCATATCTCTTGTCCAGATATAATTGTCATATAAATGTTGAGATATGTTCTGGAGTGACAGCAGTTAAGTATCTATACAAGTATATCTACAAAGGGCATGATAGAGTGGCTGTTAATATCTCACAGAATGATGAAGAAAATAATATTGATGAGATCAAAGAATATCAAGATGCTCGATGGGTCTCAGCTCAAGAAGCCATTTGGAGGATTTACGAATTCAATTTGAATGAAATATCTCCACCGGTCATTGACCTCCATCTTCATCTACCTAACCAACAATGTGTCACTTACTGGGCAAATCAAAATTTGAGCAACGTCCTCAAATGGGACCATGTGTCTAAGACAATGCTCACCGAGTATTTTTCAATGTGTTCGAGAAGTGAAAAAGCGCGAAAATACCTTTACAAGGAGTTCCCAGAATATTACGTATGGGACAAGCAAGGTAGATGTTGGTCTGAAAGAAAGAAAAGAGATGTGATAGGGCGTATACATGGTGCAAATCCTATGGAAGGAGAACGGTATTATCTTCGATTACTATTGAATCATGTAAGAGGTCCAACATCTTTTCTAGATCTTTTAACAGTTAATGGAATACGATGTGCTAACTTCAAAGAAGCATCACAAAAAAGAGGCTTACTAGAGTCTGATCAAAGTGTTATTGAATGTTTAAATGAAGCCATCACTTTTCAAATGCCTCATGAACTGCGCCGATTATTTGCAACCGTCTTGGTATATTGTGCTCCAACAGATGTGAGAGTTCTCTGGGACACATATTTTGAAGCAATGTCAGAGGACTTTAGAAAAGAAAATGATACATCAAAGGAGAGACAAATTACGAGAACTCTCCAAAGTGTGAATTATTTTTTGGAGAGCATGGGGAAAAAATTGGAATCATATGATCTTCCAAGTGCTCCAATTGATACTAACCACGTGACTACAAATCTGTCAAGAGAGATAGAAGATGAGTTGTCAATAGAAATACCTTCTGAAGATTACGAGGCCGAGAAAAAACTGAATAAAGAACAACAATATGCCTTCAAAGTAATCTTAGAATTCATACACAAAGGTAAAGCCGGTATGTTCTTCATTGATGGCCCAGGGGGAACTGGAAAAACATTCTTATATCGTGCGTTGTTAGCTCATTTAAGATCTACAAAAAAAATAGCCATTGCAACAGCGACATCTGGAGTTGCCGCTGCAATAATGCCTGGAGGAAGAACAGCTCATTCACGTTTCAAAGTACCAATCGATGCAAATGAGTCCAGTGATTGCAATATATCAAAGCAAAGTGAGTGGCTAATCTATTGCGTACAGGAAAATTAATTATATGGGATGAAGCTCCAATGGCAAAAAGATGGGCTATTGAGAATGTTGATAAGTTATTCAAGGACATAATGGGAAATGATGAACATTTCGGGGGTAAAGTGGTGGTCTTTGGTGGTGATTTTAGGCAAGTACTACCCGTGGTTCCAAGGGGTACAATTCACCAAACTATTTCCGCCAGTTTGGTGAAATCAAGGCTATGGCATAAAATGATAAAATTTTCTTTGTCTAAGAATATGAGAGCGCAAAAAGATCCTGAATTCGGTGATTTCTTACTTAGAGTTGGAAATGGAGAGGAAACCTCTGATATTGAGGGTAACATTATAATTCCTGAAGAGATGGTGGTGAAGTATGACAATGAAGAGGACTCCATGGCACGTCTTATTGATTCAATTTTCCCGAGCTTGAGTAGTAATGCTGAATCATCTACTTACATGACAACTCGAGCGATATTAGCATCTAAAAATGAGGAGGTTGATAAATTAAATGATAAGTTAATTTCTATGTTTCCGGGAGAAGCAAGAACATTTCAAAGTTTCGATGAAGATATCGATGATACAAATAATAACTATGAAGAAGATTTTCTCAATTCTTTGACTCCAAATGGCTTGCCTCCGCATAAGTTGGTCTTGAAGAGAAATTGTCCAATAATCCTCCTAAGGAATTTGGACCCATCAAATGGACTGTGCAATGGTACAAGAATGGTGTGTAGGAATTTCAAATCCAATGTCATTGATGCGGAAATAGTCTTTGGCCAACACGTCGGCAAACATGTTTTCATTCCTAGAATACCACTTTCGCCAGCTGAAAATGAGGGTTATCCTTTCAAATTCAAGCGTAAGCAATTTCCGATTAGACTTTGCTTCGCTATGACAATCAACAAAGCACAGGGCCAAACAATTCCTAATATAGGAGTCTATTTGCCTCAACCAGTGTTCTCTCATGGCCAACTTTATGTAGCTCTATCAAGAGGAACTTCATCATCGACAACAAAAGTTCTAATCAAGCCGGATACCAACAATGTTCGAGAAAAAAGGGCGACAAAAAATGTTGTTTACAAAGAAGTTCTAAATGCAGGTAAAATAATTTTACCATACATATATAATGTGTGTGTATATTTATAATGTATGAATATTATGAGATAGTAACTAATGGTATTATGTTTATTAGGAGGCTTATCAAGGAGGCTACAAAATGAAGAAAATGAGGTTATTTAAAATCTTCCATCTTTTTTCTTGCAATAGCCTCTACAATGTCTAATTCCCCATGAAGATACTTTATCTTGTTTAAACTGTATATTTAATAACTATTAATCCAATTTATCATTCCTTATTCTTTTTTTTTTCTGTTTGTCTGTAGATCTCGAATACCAATTCGATGAACCTTCTACGTGACTCAAAATGGGTGGATGAATAGTGCGTCTTTCAAAAGGATAATATATAAAAGTAATCTTTTCATTTTTTTTTTACAATTACATCACTTCTAATTCTAATTGCATTATTTATATTGATTCTCCGATAGCTCCCTCAGATCATAATATGGAATTGGTTCACCGACAGAGAGAACAGGATCGTGATTTTTTATAATCTATTAGTACAATATTAGAATTAACTAAATGATCGTATTCGAAAAAACTTTATTTATGACACACTTTTCAAATTTAAAATAAAAATTATATTTTAGTATGTTATTTTCAATTTGTATTAGTACAAAGTTCGTATTTTAGTTTATCAGTATTAATGCCTCGATGTGTTCATTTATTGGAATATAAAATTTAAATACAACTTTTGACTTCAATCTGTTGGTTATTCGACATGGAGTGCTGAAATTAAAGATTATGTTCACCCGATTATTTATTTTCAACGACATTATTTTGCATGACATGATCCCCACTCATTGATCTATATAGTGGTTTCCTGAAGGAATTTCAGACTACATACTTATTTATATTATACATTTCAAAGTCTGACACGCACATTGGATTGGGATAAATTTATTTTGGATTCGAGTTTAGCCATTTGGACTTCAAACGACCGTTCTCCGAATAGGGAAATGTTCAACGTGTTCACGTGAAATCTGGTAATAGGTGATTTCATTTTTCAATCCGGTTTTTGTATATATCACTTGAATTGTAGTTGTCGGATTATGTGTACTTTTATTTTCTTAAAATTGAGGATGGTTCTTTAGTTTCTTCTATGTTACACTTGATTAATCTTAAATATCCATAGCTATTAACAAACAACAATATTATACAATTTATCCCAAATTTGTAATTACAAGGAGTGATATTTTCTTTTTAACTTGTGGAGGGATACTCAACAACTTTACATAAAATCCCCTTCTATATCTTGTTTGTGTACAAAATTTGCATCTATCTCACACCAATCAACAAATCTATACAAACACAATAATACAATACATAACCAGAAATGTCCCCAAATTCTTCCACCATTCTGCCACAACATTGTGCTTTTTCATTGTTCATCAATTTCAATGGTGGTATTGGTGAAGTTTCAATAAAGGGTGACATTGAATAAATAAAATTTTATTGTTTATTATTCTTGATTGATTTAATGTTAACAGTCATGTATTTTGTAATATTCTTCATTTATTTAGTGTTAACAGTCATGTTTTAATTTTTGAATAAAAAATAATTTAATTCCGTAATATTCATTTGAAGAAAATAGGTTAAATACGTTTTGCACCCTTGATTTATAGGCTATGTAACGCTTAACCCTCTTTTTTTACTTTTTTTTTTGGCCAAACTCTTTTTAATCCATTAAATACTAATGACAGTATAAAGTAAAAACATTGTGGGCGTAACACAAGGAAAATAGTACCCGTAAGAGATCAAGAATAAAAACGGACAAAAATAACCCTATTACAATCTATTACACAAAAACCCCAAAAGTGGGTAAGAAAAAAAATAACTAAAAGAATATGCCTATGCTGATTATTGTAACTCAAATATAAAAAAGGCCCCATATGGGGCTGGAAATGCCAATATCTAAAATATCTCACCACCAACTTAAATTATTCAACTTTTGCCCTCTTCTCCTACGTTGAGATTGATCCATATTCATCTTCAGCTTCTGCGACTGCATTTCAAACATTATGGTCGAAAGTCCTAATCCCAAGAACATCACATCGATATGCAATCCATACTGACCTAGGAAGGTCGTTTGCCAAAAAGAATTCTTAAAGGTGTTAGTGATTATGTGCAGGGGCGGACCCAAGGTATACCTTGGGGGGGCCTCCGCCCCTACAGAATTTTGTTTTTACCTGTTTTTTATTAAATTTTTAATATTTTATGTTATTTATCTATTAATTTATACCATTTAGCCCCCCCCCCCCCCCCCCCCCCAAACTTCAAATTTAGTATCATTTTAGTCAAAAGATATTTTTTGCCCCCCACCCAATACTCCTTGGGTCCGCCCCTGATTATGTGCCCATGCCGCAAGCCGATCGGCAACCGATTTTTTTTCTCTGTACACACGTGAACACTTGAAAGTCTGCTGCGTAAGATTAACACATTCCTTATTTTGCATCAATTATTTTACATCTTAAGTTTTAAAAAATAATAATAATCTTAATATATTTCCACTTTGGTTGGATGGAATAATTGAAAAACAATTCACATAATTTATCAAAAATATCAATTGAAAAGTCAATGCAATATTTGAAACTGTAAAATTGTATATTTCTTTGGTGGAATAAATAGCATAACAATATAATAATTATTGGATACTATAGAACTTAAAAGTAACTAATATTAAATAATCGGAAAAACATTGATAATATTATATATTGTATAATAATGAGTGACAATATATTTTCAGAAATTGATGAATTAAAATAAATTAAAATACTTAAGTTTGTTTAATAACTTAATTCTTAGTGTTTTTAAAATTTTATTTGTTACAAAAAACAATTACATGTTATGTTATTGAATTCGTACCCAATGCAATATAATATTTTTAAATATTAAGATATGACATTTTGTTAATATATTCCATCCAATAAAAGAGAAAATTTGAAGGTATTAACATTTGATATACAAATTAAATGTTATTTTTTTTATCAGTAAACTAAAAGAGGGTTGAGGGGTAGGTGTTACAAATAATACTTTAAGGAGACAAGTGTTGCATATGATACAATTTTGGGGTAAACAAATATGGTACAATTTAATATGGTATAATTTCTTTTGACCGGCTATCAAAAATAGGGGGATTTTTTTAGTTTTTTAATAGTTAAGGGGGTGAAAGCGACCTTTTAAAAACTAATGGGGTGCAAACTGTATTTTACCCATTTTCTTAAGATTAAGAATGATTTTTTACTTTCTTCGATGCAAATGACAACATTATACAATTTATGCCAAATTTGTAATAATGAGGACTTCAACTTATGGAGGGATATCCAATGTATTGGTTATACATTACTTACATTTTCATGATACATGTGGGGCAATTAATTTTCAATGACTTCTAACGCCCATTTAGAAAAGCAAACTGTTCACAACATTATGAACAAACCTATTTTCTTTGTTTTAACTAATATTGCTCATCAACTTTACAGAAAATCCCCATCTATATCTTGTTTGTGTAACAAATTTGTATCTGGCTCACACCATTCTTAAGAATGCCAAATAACATGCCGCCAACATATTATATATTTATTACGACACGTGCAACGCACGTGCACTTTTCTAGTATCTATAAAAGTGTGAATAATTGGTGAGGTTTCTTCCTTTTTTTGTGTGTACAAAATTACCCTTTTTCTAATAGCTATCTTTAAGGGTAATATAGTTAAAGTACATTACAATTACAAAGTCAAAATAAAATTAAATTTCTAAATATTCCGTGCCTTTTACAACTTAGCTTAATAAAAATTAGGGGCTTTAAGATATAGGTCCCTGGTGAGAAAACATATTAGAACTAAATGACAAGTCTAACTAAACATTAGCTTCACATCATTTATAAATTTCATTCCAATAATGCCCCCACATACAAAAAATGAAATATGCATCAAGTAATATTTAAACTGAATTTATCATTTTTTCATTCTACATTTAACATTTTTATTTTCGCATCTAGCATTTTTATTATTATTTTTTTTTTCGTACAACAATTTTTTTTTTTTGTATTTTCGTATTTTTTCCTTTTTTTCTACATAATATTGAAAATTATGATTTTTTAATTTTTTTCGGCCGTAGTCTTCTATAGAAACCCGTAGAACACCATAGGAACCTATAGTAATCCGTAGTCACATATTCTTAAAACCCTAATTCTTCTTTTGAACCCTAGCCGTCAGACACCATAGACACCCATAGATACTCATAGACATCTATATACATGAAATCGAAAAATCTTAGATCCGCCCCACCAAAACCGTAAATCTCCTCCACCAAACCCTAGATTTGCGACACCAACATCACCACACCGCTACACCCACGCTGCCATAACCCTCCAACGACGAGCACCACCGACACCATCCCCTCAGCCCTGAGCATCGCCGCCCAACGAGCCCATCCTCATGACCGGCGCCGCTCACCACCAGCGCCTACCCAGAGTCGCCGCCGCCGCCGCCATCACCATCCCTCATGGTTATAGCCACCGCCTCCTCTCAAATCATGGGATGGAGTTGTGGCGAGAGATATAGCTTGAGGTCGAGAAAAATAAATCGAGAGCGAGAGCCAGAGACAGAGAGATAGCGAGAAGAGAGAGCAGAGACAGAGAGAGCCGAGAGCGAGAGAACCCGAGAGAGAAGAAGAATAACGGAGAAAAATAGATCTGAGAAAAACGTGAATAAGTGGGTTATAAGATTTAGGGTATAGGGGCAAGATAGAGATTAAAAAAAAATATAAGCATGTGGGTCATATATTATTTCAATCTAAGGATTTAATTAAAAAATTGGATTTAGATTTGTCATTTAGTTCAAATTAGGTTTCGTATGAGGGGCTCATAGCATATTACGCCTAAAAATTATGACTGTCATGTCATTTTTCAACAAATTAATTACACTACCATGTCATAATACATCAAAAACTGCCCAAATAAACTTAAATTCTAGAAACAACAAATTACTTTGTTAAATAATTGGTAACTAAGCATGTCATAATTCTAGAAACTCAATCATTCGATTGCACTTCCATCTCATTATTTATAATCACCTTCCATGATCTCATTATTTGTGACTCCCAATTTCATTAATTCGAACCTTAACATTTGTTTCTTACAATACAGAAAAGGAACCAACCATGTCTCTTGCTTCTATGTTTTCGCATAAGAGACTTACAAGTAATGCAAAACTTGGGACGCTTAAACTAAAAGCTTTACGAGTTGGGAGTGAGATAAGCTGCGGGACAGACTTCATTACAAAGTTGGGGGGACAGTATTCAATATCCCACCAGGGTCTCCCACCAAAGCCCAACCCCGGTCAACAAATCTATAGAAACACCGAACTATCAATACTTTAGCAGAAATTTTCCCAAATTCTTGCAAAACTCTGCCACAATATTCTTTTTCTTCTTTTTGCAGTACTCTGCTACAATATTGCGGTTTTTGATTGTTCGTCAATTCCAGTAATGGTATTTGCGAACTTTCAATAAAGTGACATTGAATAAATAAATTCTTATTGTATAGTTTTTTTGATTTATTTAATGTTAACAGTCATAGTCATGTATTGTATAATATTCTTCATCTATTTAGAGTTAACATGTTTTAATTTTTGAAAATAAAATTTTATCCGATACTTTTCTTTTGAAGAAAATAGGTTAAATACGTTTTGCACCCCTGATATATAGTGTATATAACACTTACCTCTCAATATTAAATACTTTGTATCTTAATTTTTAAAAAATAATAATAATCTTAATATATTTTAATTTTTATTGGATGGAATAATTAAAAATATTTCAAAAAGTTTATTAAAAATTTCAATTGAAAAGTCAATGCAAATTGTAAAATTTTATATGTCTTTTGTATCTAAAAGTAACTAAACTTTAAACTATTGGAAAAATATTGATAATAATATATATTGTATAATAATGAATGAAAAGATATTTAATAAAATCAATGAATTAAAATAAATTTAAAAGTCACTAAAATTAATTATTTTAAGAAATTAATTATTGATTGATTTCTACAAATTTATTATAAATATATTGCACATACATTTTATGAAACGATGTAGAAATTAAAGAATAATTAGTTATTCGGAATTCATTGATTTTTTTAAAATGTTTTCATAGTTTTTTTTTTTTTTTTGCAGATGACCCCATTGTGCTTTTATTTTTGCAGATACGCCCTTTAAGTTTGACACACGCAGTTACATTTGACAGAAAAACTAACGGAAGCTACCCTCCATAATGTAGGGAATCGGACACGTGTACGCAGCGGAAAACAAAAAAAAAATTATGTGAATTAAACGAATTTAAAACACATAAACACATGCCCGATAATTGAAAACAATTAATTGCGTACCTTTGCGCTTCCAGCGAAATTAAAAACAACATACATGCTTAATTATTTAACCGAATTTAAATCAATTAGCATGCTCGCGTTTAAATCAAATAATCATGCTCGCAATAAATAAACGATTTCATGTAGTCACATAAAATCATACAAGTTTCATACTAGAACGAACATATATATATTCAATTTAAACGTAATCGAATCTAACGACAATGGATTCGAAAAATTTACCTCTTGAAGCGTGAGGTAGGCGCACTATGCAAAACTAGATTGCCACGGAAACCAATCTGTGCGATCCGGGGCAACAACGACGAAACGGCAGCAGCTACAAGACGAGCTACGGTGGCGCGTGTGAGTCACGCGCTGTCTTCGGGCGGCGCGTGGGATTGCGTGCGGCGTCGGCTCGTGTGCTGCTCCTCGATTCTTCGATCTTCGATCTTCCTCCTCTCGGATTTCACCTCGTATACTTCGATCTACTAAACACGTGGCACTAGACACGTAATAGTTAGAAAAATGGAAGAACCGAAAGAAGGAAAGAACTACCAATGTGAATCGGCCAAGAGAGGGCCGATTCCGGTAAGATTCCGGCGACGGCGGCGGTGGTGGCCGCGGGGGAGAGTGGCCGAGTGAGAGGGGGAGCGGCTAGGGTTAGGGTTTTGTGTCTTGTTTTTTGTACAAGACCTATAAATCAAGTATTTATAGTGTCTTGCATAAAAACCCTAACGGGCTTAAGTTGGACCGGGCCCAACAGCTTAAGTTCGTTAGTTCTTTTACTTGCTCGTCTCTCTCAATTCAATGATCGAAAAATTGTAACGATTACATTTTCGGAATCATTATAAAGTCC